CATACCTGCTATATTGTGGGGAAATGGCTGATAATAAAGTCTTTGTAGATGAGTTAAACATTAGGTTTTCTCCTGTTGAGGGGCAGCTAATATTTATACTAGTTCACAAACACATCTGACTTAGAAGCCAAATTATTTTTTTGAAAAAAGATATATAGTAGTCCCCTCTATTTGTGGGAGATATAGTCCAAATCCGTGGTAAATGCCTGAAACCACACACAGGACTAAACCCTATGTATATATACTATGTTTATAACATGGACATAGTAAAAGATTAACAAACAATAACTAGAAATAAAATAGAATAACTGTAACTATTTTAACAGAAGTTATGTAAATGTGGTTTCTCTTTCTCAAATATTGTCCTGTCCTGTACTCACTCATTTTTGGACCACAGATAAGTGTAACGAGTGAAAACAAAATAGTAGATGAGGAAGGGCTATTGTATAGGTTTCCAGGCCTCGATCTGCTTCGCCTGTGCTGTGTAATACACACTACTAAAAAGCCCAGAACTTACAGTTATTTCTTGCTCACAGGAGTGACTTTATGGCCCAGCAGGGAAGATGGTATATTTTGAATGGCCATGTCTCTCCAAAATTCACATATTCAAACCTAATTGCAGAGGTGATAGTATTAGAAGATGAGGCTTTTGGGAGGTGATGTGATCAGAACCTTCTCAAATGTGACTGGTGCCCCTATGTCTAGACCCCACAGAACTAGCTACTCCCTTCCTTCATACTAGGATCTACTTAGATAATTATGTTCCTTTAACTCTTCCTCAAGAATACATTCTAGAGAACCAGCAGTTAGTGTAATGGCTATGTCACTGGACTCCCACGTGGTCGACTGTGGTTCACGTCCCGGACCCGGTGGCTTAAAACTCAACGCTAGGTGCGTGTGCGTGTGTGCGTGCCCAAGATCCTGAGAGGAGAATGGAGGAGAAGGGATTGTGGCGTGACCATCCCCCCTGGGGGGTGATTTCTCGCTTTCTGTCTCTATGTCTCTCTCTGTCTGTCTGGCAAGTGCATGCGCCCAATAGTGAAAAACCTCTCAAAAAAAAAAAAAAAAGTAAAAAGAAAACATTCTACAAATACATATAATTTTATCAACATATTCTTCCTTCCATCTTCTTTTTCCACTAACTTATCTGTTGCAAACTTTTGTGTGTTTAAACAGTCTCTTTTCAACCCCTTTTATGCAGCTCCTGCTGCTTTTCTTTCTTTCTTTTCAATTGGCCAGAGTATGTGTGCTTTCACTGGAGAATGATAAAGAGAAAAGGTGAAAGCACTTCACCTTCCATGGGGGAATGGTTACGCCACAATCTCTTCTCCTGTGTCACTCCTTCCTTTTGGGATTTTGGGTATGCACACCCCACATGTCCATTGCTTCTTTTGCATTTGTACTATTTGCTTTACTAACATAGCTCATTTTTCAGCCCTTCATATGACATTGAGTCTTTATTAAAATGGTATTTTTCCAAAAATTTAAGAAATTCCAGATTAGAATTAGAGATACAATATACATTCCTTCTTCCTAAATATGTCATATCTATAATCTTTAAATGTGATCATAAACAAAAGATATTGTAAGGTTCCAGGATCATTTCCCATATACACAATGGAATGCTAAAATGCAAGTTTTGAACAGCTAGTTAATGGATTTTAATAACTTTTATATTCTATATACATTTATAAATTTTCGATTAACATTTTGTACTTTCAAAAACATTTTTTAACATTTTTTTTTTGTTATAGGCCGTATGGGCACGCCAGACAGAGACAGATAGAAATAGAAGGAAAGTGAGAAATCACCACCCCAGGGGGACAGCCATGCCACAATCCCTTCTCCTATAAAAATTTTGGGCACTCACAGACATGAACCCAGCATTTTTTTCTCAAACTTCTATGTCCAGGACTCAAACTGTAAAGTCAGTCAGGTGGGATCTAACCACCTCAACCACTAAGCAAGTTAAAAACTATAGTAGATGGGGCTGGCAGGAGGCGTGGTACTTAATGGTGCTGGATTCCCACATGAGTGACTGTAGTTCAAGTCCCAGACCTGGTGGCTTGCTTTCTTTCTTTCCGTTCCTCTCTCTCTGTCCCTCTGTCAAATTTAAATAAATAAATAAATGTTTTTTTTTTTTTATGAAAAACTATAGAATTTAAAACATAATTAGTTGAGAGTTAAGGGAGAAAAGAAGCAAAATATTTAAGAGACACAAAAATGGAAAATTTATCTGCTGATGATAACATGTATTATAATACCTTTAACTGGACTAATATGTAGTGTATTTATCCTGGGAAAATTCATTTTACAAGCTGTAATGATATGCAATGGTAGAATGTATAAAAGAATTTTTTTTAAAAAAAATCAGGAAATGTAACTAGTTAGAAATAGTAATTTTTTTTTTAAATCAGGAAATGTAACTAGTTAGAAATAGTACTTTTTTTTTTTTTTAATGGAACATGCAACTTCCAACTTAAGATTTTTTTTTTTCAGACAGGGTCTCATAATGTCATGGTCCTTCTGCCTCTGGCTTCTGATTGTTGTAGCTCTAGGTGTGTACTACTACACCCAGCTTTTAGAGTGAGCCAGGAGCTGAAGTTAGGCCTCCCACATGGCCTCAGTAGTAGTGTCAACTATCACACATTACTGCAGCTGGGCCCACTTTAGGATCTTTGTGCTAAAATATATAATATGTAAGAGTATGGCATATATCTGCAAAATGTGACACTGTACATACTTTACTGACTGAATCAGAGAAATGTATGAAGACACTTATCACAGCACTTGCCTCAGTGAGCTTTCAAAAAAGGTTTGGAGAGGCCAGCAGATAGATGGCTTAGTGTTACATTGCTGGTCTCCAACATGACTGACCCAAGGTTGAGTCCTGGGCCTGGTGGACTGAAACTCGCATCATGTGCATCTGCATGTGTGCCCCAAGTTCCCAGGAGAAGAATGGAAGAGAAGGGATTGAGTTGTTGCCATCCCCTCTGGGGGGTGATTTCTCACTTTCCCTCTCACTGTCTCTGTCTCTCTCTCTCTCTCTCCCCATCAAGTGCCTCTTTTTTTGCCCTATGGCAAAAACCTCTACAATAAAAATAAATAAATAATAAAGTTGCGATCAGCAGATACTGTAGTGGTTACCTCACTGTACTTCCACATGGCCAACCTCGGTTTGAGTCCCAGACCCAATGGCTTGAAACCCAAGCTGGCATGTGTGCATGTGTACCCAAGATCCTGGAGGAGAATGGAAAAGAAGGGATTGCTGCATGTCCATCTACCCTGGGGGTTGATTTCTCGCTTTTCATCTCACTGTGTCTGTCTCGCTCTCTTCCAGCAAATGTGTCTGTCTTGCTATCTCGCTTTCTTCCAGTGAGTGCATGTTCCCTAAAGGGGGGGAGTCATTTTTAAAAAAAAGGTTTGTAGTTGTTTGCAATAGATTTATAAGTCATTAAATGAGGACAAGGAGAAAAACATGTGAATGACCAGGCATTGAAGAAATTCTTGTATTCTCAGGAAAGCAGGGTAGTTCTTCAGCCTACTTAGAAATTCATAAAGTACTATGCAACTATTCCTGGTCATCTGCCTTTTCTGCCTCACGTTCCACTGTTCAAAACTTTCTAATACTCCCTATATTGCTAAAAGTGGTTGATGCTCTTTCAAAATCTACTTACTTCTAATGTAAAGTAACTTTTAGGATCTTTCTAGACTCTAAAGTGATATGTTATTCATTATACAGAATGTACTGGGCTAGAAAGCTCTTTTCTTCCATGTGCATTATAAAATCCAATAGCAGACTAGAGACAAAGCACATAATAGGAAGATATATGTTTAGTTACTGATAGCTGCTTTTACAAACATTGGTAATATAATTTGTATGAATCCAGCACCTAAATTTTGGCCTCATATGTTCCCTTCAGATGTTTATTTATTTCTGTCCTAATCTGCTATGTGTGTACAATTATATTTCCCAGTCAAAAAGTACCATTTTCCTACTATTTCTTTTTTTCATACCTTAACTTTCTTTGGCACTTAATGGATTAGAAATGTGTACAAAGAGGGGAGGATGGACAGATGTCTACAGTGTTGATTCATTGAGACTTGTACCTAAATTTAACACTGCATGTGTGAGTCTTGAAATGATGGGATATAGAAGAAGAATATAATGCAGTTCTCAACCTTCCTAAATAGTATGTTTGGGTTCAGGGAATCTAAAGAAGTGACAAAGGCAGCAAAAAAATACTCATATATCTTGTCTATTATTTTATTTCTGCTTTTAGCAAATTGATGGGAAAATATACCTTTTTTAAGGAAAAGTTCACAGATTGATCAAGTTTATTATGGAATCATTTTACTGTATATATAACAGATAATTGTATTATTTATCTATGTCTCATAAGTTTTCTGGAAAAAGATTCATAAAAGTGAGAAATGATAGTGATTCATTTGATAAGTTGATGCCTACAGTGTTGCATATCAGTGATATTTACTATCATTGTGTGTCATTGTATGTCATACAATGATTTTCCCCAAGGAAATAATGGTGTATAAAGTAATACTACTTGCTAAACTCTAGTTAAAGTAGTCGATGGTAAAGACTGAATAAGGAACCAAAATGTCTACTTCTTATCTCAGTGTTATAAGTAGAAAAAGGTTTTTGTGGTGATGTATATATAATAATAAAACATTCCAATTACAAATTATTTCGTTTTCATAGTACACAGACTTTCCCAGTAAAATAACATGCAATTGAGTTGTTTGATGTTTTGTTGTGCTTCATAATCTGAAGTCTATTTAATCCCTTGGAAGTCCCAGACAGACATAATTTTCTTTGCTGTATTGTACATTTCACAAAAGCTATGATAATAGCAATATATAAGGAGGTACTTTTTAAATGGCAGTATAGAGTGATAATAAAATTGCGTAGTTAATCACCATCATTTTGCCAAGACATATATTGCTCTGAACATTCTCTTTCACTTTCTTGTTATTCACAGAAATTGAAGAATGCCACTGGAAAGCTACATCATGAGCGGCTTGGGCTTCTAAAGTGTCCAGTGGATTTTTAATCAGATGAGGTAAATACTGAGCTTATTTTATTTGTATATCAGGATGGAATGAAGTACCATTTTATGCCTTAACATTTATCATCTTTAGACCAAGATGACAGGTGATTTTCTTTTCTTTAATCTTATATTTAATTAAATATTTCTTCTAGTTTGCGAACCCCAAAGTGATTGGGAAAAATTATTGGCATATTGAAAATCCACTGCCAGACTTATATATACATACTTTTCTCTGCATTATATATGTGAAAAGTAATATGTGATTACTTCCAGACAATCTGTTTCTTAAAGTCATTTTGGTCCTTTCCAACTTCGTCTCAGCATGTTCAAATGTTATACATAAAGTATGATGGCTACAAATTATTTTTATTAATACTAATAACATAGGCAGTGGTAAGGAGGATATTACTATACATTTAAAGGGAAAGCTAAGTTACTTCTGGGGCTTTTTTGCCCCGTAAATTCTAGCCATAATTCATTGTCTTATATGTGTGTGATGTGTTAGCTTTGTCTTCCTTGAGAAGTCTTCATAGCTTTTTACCTTTTCTTTCTTGGCTAGTGGTTATTTACAAAGCACGACAACAGATTTTTTTTTTTTATCATCATCATCATTATTATTATTATAGTTGTTGTTGAATTGAATGAGAGATTTGTAAGTGCTGCTTTCTTTTCGCCACCTAAAATTACAAAGAAAGGGATTAGAAACCCAGGGATTTCCAAAAAAGATGCAGCACGGCCAGAAACTAAGTTTCTAATTTAATTCAGCTAATGGGAGACATGCGACTGCGTCACTTATGCCCTCAGAAAGACCAAGAAACTGAGCAATCACATGAAATCTTATTATTAAAGAGGTAGGTGTTCTAGGAAGGAATATGCCAGCTTCCAGCCTGCTTCACAAGTTTCAGACAAAAATGATAGTGATGAAGGGATGACTTGTTCATAAGTGGTCTACCCAGTGGTCTACCCTACACCAGTCGAGGATGACCCTGTAGGGTCCATAGGAAATGGACAAAATTCATGTCCACAAATACAGATTTAAATGAAAAAGGAGATACTGCACTTTTAGGAGGAATGACAGAAAACTTAAACAGGTACAAAATAAGTAAATTGATCACACTTCAAAAAAAGCACCATTGATAAAGTTTAAAGTATGCACTGTACAATGAGGCTCAGATTTTACAAGGGTATCCATTATGTTAACTTAGATGAGATAATAGGGAAAG